GGGGGGGAGCGGGGAATTGTGGGGAAGACTAATGAATGAGAAGACAGGACAAACTCTCTAGCTACACTTGATCCGTCTCATCCCTGGCCCCGTGGTCCATATTCCCTAAGCGATTGCCACAACTATAACAATAATAGCCCCCAACAATCACCCCGCCACTGGACCCTCACTGTCAATGGGGTGTAAGAGTAAAGTTTAATCCCAACTCCCCCCGCTCAACCAGCATTTCGGGGGAGCCGCGCGACTCGCATGGTGCGCGCCGTGGGTGCTCAGCGGTGTGCACGCACGCGCACGCACCAAGTGCTAAAACACCAGCATATGCCGCGTGGGTGAGCCAGCGGAGATCGGAGCGGTGTCGCACAAAATGACGCACGTGCAGCCGGGTGCACGAGGGACCACCAAGCGCAGCCAATCACAGGATCGGGTGGCCGTTTGTCCGACGAGAATTTCACTGGATGGCAGTTGATTAATTTTGATTTGATTTTTCTCGCCTTTTGTTGTCTTTGCGTTCTGACATTAAGATCGCCAACTGGCGGAGCGTATGTCCAGTGCCGTAAGCGAGAGGAACAGCTTCTGTCTGTTAGTTTTGTTTGATTTATCGTCTGCAACCTCTTCATTCATCACAAAGAGACGCCTCCTCTCCTGCCAACAAAAGCAAGGACACTCGCCAAAAGCACTTGTCATGGCTGAGCGTGAACAAACAAATAAACTGTTGAGTTCATTACAGCGACAAGGGAAGAAGATCACAGACACTCACAGATGGGCACAGTTCATGTACGCGTGCACGAAAATGTGTTCACTCAATAACGCGTGTTTGGTCGTTTGTTTGTTTTTTGTTTAGCTTTAGCTTTAGTAAGAGTTTTGCGGCACTTGCAGTTTAAAAAAGTGTCGTGTAAGTGATGCATATGAAAGGTGTTACGAGAGAGCAACATAGAAAGAAAAGAAGGGGAAGAGATGAGGACGATACAATTTTTATTTTTAAAGAAAAGAAGGAGCAAACAACCCAAAGCACCCACCGACCATCAACAATTCAGCTTTCACACTGATAAACATACCAGCGAAACAGTGGTATTGTATAGATAGAGGCAATTCAATCGATAGGAAGACATGCACTCTTAAGACACATACACAGACGTACAAAAATACTCGTACTCGTATACACACGGACCCACGTACGCACATGTAGTACTAGGGAAAGGAGAGAAAGAGAGAGGGGGCGGAGAGAGAGGGAGGGAGGGAGAATGAGAGAGAGAGGGGGAGGGAGAGAGAGAATGGGAAGGGGGGAGACATGGCAATTGCCTTGGATTTTTTTTTTTTTAATAAATCCTTTAAACATTTAACAGTTCGGTTGATAAAAAGTAGCGTGTTCCTAAAGAAAAGTACCAAAAGTCGCTAGAGACCATTTTGAGCTTTTTTCAGACTTAAGCAACCAAACACAGTTTGAAAAGAAAAACACTTGACAATAAAACGCTTTTAGGGGTCGTACTGTTATAAAAAGACAATACGAGATTAATGTTTTAAAGATTGTTTAGACTGTTTCAGTGGGTGGTTAGCGGGTTCTCTGGTCTGATATGGTTTGCTTCTTCTTTCCTATCAAACATCTATCGTCTGTTCCCCCCCCCCCTTTCTCTTTTGGTTTTGTTACTGTGTTGTAACACCTCTAATCTTCTGCACTTATATGACTTGGCGGGTGGTCTGATATGGTTTGCTTCTTCTTTCCTATCAAACATCTATCGTCTGTTCCCCCCCCCCTTTCTCTTTTGGTTTTGTTACTGTGTTGTAACACCTCTAATCTTCTGCACTTATATGACCTTATTGGGTTGAAAGTGCCGTAAAACACTTACTAAATCATAAACAAAGACTGTTTCATCATAACTCACCCACCACCCAATCATGTACATATTTTGTACATCGATTGATGTCATACTTCGACACAGACTACTACGTAAGTAGCACTGTTTTTCATCTCTTTTTTGGTGTTCCCGAACTCATGGTGTTACGTTATGACATTAAGACTCTCCCGAAATCAACTTTACTGGCATGTTCGCAAACGGAAACTACCCCAAAAAAGCAGAAAATAAACTTTAATTCTACTTGTTATTCTTTTCAGGCCACCTACGACTCAGGCGGAGCTCTTGCCGGAAGTCATTTCACTTCCGGTGCCTACTCTAACTCAGTGACGTCATCATCAGCCATGGCCGATATCAATATCCTGGCCGCCTCGTTCTCGCTCCCCATGCACGACTTCCAACCGGACGTGACGTCATACGGCGCCGAGGACTTGTCCCCCGACCACTTCTCCCCGGGCTACGACAACAGTCAGTCGAGCGTGATGAGCTTCGAGCACCCCCACCCTCCCCAAGGTGTTCCCCACGGCTACATCGACACCTACAACTTTGACAGCAGCTACATACAGCACAGAGAACTCTCAAAACACTCGCCCTTCGGAGCCAGCGTCGCACACAGCACTAGCAACAGCATGAGCATCGGTTCCAGCAACAACAACAATAACAACAATAACAACAACAACAACACGACCGCCAACAACAACAACACCAACACAGCTAACAGCAGCAACAGCGGAGGAGGTGGGGCCAACACTAGCGGGGACAGCAACAGCAGCGTGGCTCATGCAGCTGCTGCAGCTGTAGTGGCCGCTGTAGCATCCTCCGCAAACAGCATCATCAACAACAGCAGTGTCAATCTGAACACGAGCACGCCCATGTACCCTGACAACGTGTCTATCGACAAGTACACAGCCGTCCCCACCCATATGGTCGAAGACGTCTATGCCCCTGCGTTCCCCGGACACGAGGCTGACTTCTACTCACAGCAACAAAGGTACATGGACCCCTCCTCGAAGGGACACTTCGCGATGGAAGCCAGTAAAGTCTACCCGAAACACCCCTTTTCCGAAGGCAGCTCTCAAGAAGTAATTTTCCCCCAGCCTTCGTTAGCCTTTTCCGATCTTGACCAAAAGCCGCCACATCTGTACGGGGGTCATTCAGCATACGACACGACAGTGCCCGGACCTTACTGTGGCGAGGGGCCAGCGCTCTACCAGCCCTACCACCCGGCATTTTACGGGGGTCAGGGGGGTCACTGCCCTCCCGGGATGTCACCCTTCTCCGCCCCTGGAATGCCTCACCCTAACGCCTTCAGGAGTGACCTACCACTGCCCATGTCTGGCCATCACCCGTCTCATATGCACCCACACCACCGCCGCACCTCACTGACCATACCGACACCACCTCAAGCAGACAGGTAAACACACTCACCCGCATTCTATTTTGTGGTTGCTTATAAAGTTTGTTTTGTGTGTGTGTGTTTGTTGTTGTTGTTGTTGTGTGTTTTTTTTTGGGGGGTATATTCATTATCTATCATATTATGCGTTTGTTATTGTTGATTTGTTTGGGATTGATTTTTGTTGTTGTTGTTGTTTGTTTGTTTTGGGGAGAGGGGGGGGGATTTTGTGATTTTGGGTTTTTCTTTTGTGCTGGTGAATTCAAAGCCAAAGTTATGTTTTTAAATTGGGTTACAGTCTGACCTTTACTTCAACAGCAAGAGATCGCGTAAAACACCCCCTTTAATTTGTTGATATCTGTTTGAGGTAATGAGCACTAGTCTAGTGTACTTCTCGTCCTCTCAGTTTACAGACACAATGTCGAGACGACTTACTCATCGGTTAATATAGGTCTAATTTTCTCACCGCGGTATATGTCTAATAGAATTCTCTCAGCTCGGTTTATGTCTAATTCTCTCAAACAATAAATGCTCCTCGGGTTTTGCAACGAAGGATATCCTGTAGCCACGTGTCGCTTAAGCATGAACCGGGAGTTGATTAGGCAGCACGACATCCATGTCAGCGTGCTCTGCACTAGATAGAGCTTCCTCTGATCTGTTTGCTTCTTGTGTTACATGCTAGTGGACCCAGCTAAAGGTGGTTGTTCACACTCAGTGTCTCAATGTGTGTGTGTGTGTGTGTGTGTGTGTGTGTGTGTGTGTGTGTGTGTGTGT